CCTTTCGTGTTTTATAAACACGCTGTTAAATATTCGGTTAATCTGGTTTTATTTATATCATTTGTTAATTTTAAACAAATGTGCTACATAGCTTGTATCCTCATTTGTTTTATGTATTTTGAACAACTGTGTTTGATTACGCATGAGCATGTAAAGTATACATTGAAAATGGGCATAAAAATACAATTATCAATGCATATTATCAATGAAAGCGATATATCCAAGCATACAGAGTATGAAAATCAACATAGTTATACAGTGTAATAAAAATGCATTATAAAATACTTGGCCGTTATCGTATTGAGTTTTTTTATTATTATTATTAAGGATATTTTCGTTAGAAATGTTTTGTGAGCATGTAGTTTGATCACGAGAAAATAATCAAGTTAAAGCTGGAGAGAAGATGATCAGAGGGTTGCCATAGCTTCGGGGAATCTTCTTTGACAATAAATATTTCTTTGAGAATGTTGCCTATTTTGGTTCTGTTTTAACAAGCAATCGCACTCATTATTTTCTAGTTTCTGTTTCAGCCCTTGTACGTGTACGTGTACGTGTGTGTATGAAATATATTAAGTTATGCATAAGTTTCTCAGATCATGGAAATAAATAAAAAAGTTATGAACTCTAAAATTACCTACGTTACGAGTAAATTCGTTTAATATTACCTCCATTAATTCTTTTACCATTATTCATTGTGTTGATCAAAATGCATATATATATATATTGTGCCACAATCAAAACGTTTTAGAAGGTCCATAAAGCTCTGTGGACTTACAACGCTAGAAACCGGGTTTCGATACCCGTGGTGGGCAGAGCTCAGATAGCCCATTCTGTAGCTTTGTGCGTAACTCCAAACAAGCAAACAAACAATCCACAAAGCTGTAATTTTCGTCACATGTAAAAGAAGTGATTGGTTGGAGATTTTCTTGTTTTCTTGAGATTTTTCAGGGTTTTTATTATTTAACCCTTTCAGTCCTTAGCTGTGCTACGTATTCTGTCTTTTTATCTGTTGTTTCCTTCCATTTTCCCGTTATTTTTGTTCACGCGCTGCATTTTAAAGATTTATCCTATGCTCACCTTGGAAATAATGAGTATTATTCACTTTAGTTTACTGAAATTTGTTAAGCAGGCATGTTTACATTTTAAGACTTGGGATCGTTCAATAAACAGCTACTTATCAATGCAATTTTTGCACAGGTATGTTTGCGTTATATTATTTCAAGTCTCATAATATTGGACCTTAAAAAGTTATTTTCGTACTTCTCAAGTTTTTTTTTATATTTTATAGTTTTAGGATAAAGTATGAGAAATTATTGATCTAAACATCTCAGGTTTGGGGTTATGGCTGGATGAAGTTTGTTCAATAGCACTGAAAGTATAAAATCAACGTTAAAATTCCGTGATTTACGTTGTCGCACATATTGAAATGAAAGAAAAATAAGCCTTCTTGCGCAGTATTATTTCCGTAGAAAAATAGAATATGTATCTTGTGAGAAAGAAATATCATAGTGTCTAAAATGTTTGGGTTTAGGCGGTAAAAGGGACATTGAGAAATATGAAGAGGATGAAAAAAATGAAAGAAAATCACCAAGAAAATATGCATCGCACTAATACATCAAAACATAAGTTTAAAAGAAATATTACACTCCAAAGAAAATTACCTTAATTCATTACATATTATATAACTTTTAAAATAATCCTCTGTCTGTTTCGTTTTAGTGATTATGTTAGCCACAACAAGATAACAAAAACAATATAACCTTGCAGTCAGCTCGAAAACATGACTTATAACGCTGGAAACCGAGTTTTGATACCCGTGGTTGGTACTGCATAGATGGTACAATGTGTAACTTTTTGCTTAACTAGAAACAAACAAACAAACAAATCCAGAAACGTTTAAATTTAAGTTAAAATATAAACCGAAACACTGTCTGAGTTTTATGACCAAAAAGAAAAGTAAGTATTTATACAAACATTATTTTATAAACTCGGTAACTTCTGACTTACAAATAAAATCTCCAAAGGTTAATAAATGATAATGTTAAGTGAATTTAGTGAACCGTCGAGTGTTTAGTTCGTCATGAAATTAATATTAAACACACGTTATAAATCAATATGCATATATATCATGTAGAAACTTCCTCAGTTATAACAGCTGTTTTCCTCCCTTAATGCTTCTCATTTTTTGTCCAATCTAAAATCCGCGTGAATTATGTGGGAAGCACAAACTCCATACTTTTAACATTACTTCCGAACTTAGCAATCGTTTTTTATTATTAGGTGAAAACCTAAAAATAAACAAAGCTGAGGACGAAAACGTTTCAAAAATATTCCAGATAAAAAAATGTAGGAAAACAATTAACAGAGAAAGGGGAATATGCAATAAACAGGGAAACAATTTGGATGATTAACATTCTTATCGGATAATATCCCATGTTTTATGTATAAATATCTCACCATTCCCATAATGCACTTAATATCCTAGTTTTACTTGATAGCTCTACACGTACGACTTTGTTTTATTTGAATGTCTAAGAATTTTATTTGTTTACTTATATGTAAATGAACTGCTGAGTTTGGAGTTCGAAACGTGATGTCGTTGAACACGTTCTGCAGTCTTAGCTGTGGGAGTGTTATAAAAGTAACAGTCAGTCTTGTTATTCGGTTCAAAGAGCCAGCACTGTTGACTGTCTGCAGTCCCTTAGTCAGTAATTCAAAATTAGGGATGGCTATACCTGAATTTAAGAAGTCTTTGACCTGGCTGCTTAGCTCACGCGTGCATACGGTTCCGTTCAAGTTGAGGATTCCAATATATCCACACATAGTCTACATATATACAAGGAGTCGAAGAATGGTGTGCATGTGTATAAATCAAAATTCTAAACAACTGTGCCAAAAGCCACAAAGCGTCGCATACAAAAGCCAAGCAAATAAAACTAGGACACGAACTACACTGTGAGAATGGTAAAATATACCCAAAATAATTTTTGTTTATTTGTTATTAAGCACAAAGCTACACAATGGACTATCGGTGCTGTTCCAACTACAGGTATCGAAACCCGGTGTTTATCGTATAAGCTTTCAGACTGATCACTAAGCCGCTAAGGGAGAGGGGCTACCCAAGAGAAAGAGGTATGGAAAAATTTCATCCACACAGCGGTGGAAATACACAGTCCATTAAAGTTAGCATCTAATCGCAAGCCTCAAGTTAGAAATGAAACCAGAACTAAAGTACATAACTTAAAAATTATGATCATATATGTGTGCTCAACCATACCTTCCCACAACTTAAGCTTACATAAACCGCCAGTCAGCCATTTGTGAATACGAAACTATTTCTGGTGAAATAAAAAAAAACAATAAAAGAAAAAAAATATAAATAAAAACAAATTGCTAAAAACAGATCTCTGGAAGATATAGATATAACTTATCTCCTAAAGTTCGCCTTGTAGCTCCTTACTAGCCACACATCATACTACAGCCTAAAATATATACGTCAATAAAACACTCCTATTGAAAGACAAGAATTTTGAGCTTAGCTCCAAATATTACTAACACAGCACCATAGTTTATGTGTATGCCCAGTAGGTACGACTTGTTTCGTTTTTCTTCTAATTGTTTACAATTCAAAAATATCATACAAGGTGTGTATATATATATATATATATATTATATGTGTAGTCTTATTCTTCTCAATTCTGCTCACGTTAAGGGAATCGTGAGACTCTGAGATAACAAAAACATTAAAGAGATGTAAAACTTATTAAAGTTTGTTCCCATCTTTTATACTGAAAAGGAGTTAATCTTCTATCGAAAATTACTATAAGAAATTGTCTTTATAAGTACTGGTTACATAACAACTGTAAGAAACTGTCTTTATAAGTACTGGTTACATAACAACTGTAAGAAACTGTCTTTATAAATACTGGTTACATAACAACTATAATCACTGTCTTCAGAAACAGTAATTACATAACTTTAGATGTAGTGGTTAAGTTATTTAATTTGAACAATAAATATCATTACTGGGAATATATGTATATCTCGTTTTCGTTTTTCACGTCAACTTTAAAGAATAAAAATTGTTTCTTTACGGGTTATGTGGCGTAAACAATTTGTGCGGTTAAAACTGATAATCTCATAGTAACGCAGTCCTAAAGGCTTTCAGTTACAAGTTTATTTAAAAAGCGTATAAAACGGATCAATTTTTGTACTAGCTGTTGTATGGTTTACGCACACAATAAGAAATTGCATACCTGCGTATATTTTCTAACTAGTTAGCAAATGGTATTCTTTATTTACATACATTTTCGTTTATTTACATTTTATTCCACTATGGTCATTAAGTTCTTTTATTGTTATTTTTATACTTACTTCAGAAAATATATTATTGCTGTAATGTTAATAATATTGAGGTGAAAGCAAGAATCAGCAAAAAAATGAGGCTTCTGATAAAACAGCTAAAATTATATGATTTGGATATTACAAATAAAAACGATTTTTACTTTGCTATGTTCCACTAAGTAAATAATTTATTAATACCTATAATATAACATGACAGAACTGTACATACAAAGTAACTGCATTTTCCACAAAGTTCTAGCCAATGTAATAAGACTAAGCCATATTTAAGTTAT